GAGTGCCAGGTGCTAGACAGACCTTGTCCTTGACAAAACTGTCTACAGGGGATCCAAGGTTAGAACCTGAATTTCCAAAGCACACATTGCTGATGTCACCACAACCAAACACATCACCTTCCTGGACAAATTGGAAAGGAAGCAGGCTCCAAGTGACATGAAGGGTGCCAGCCATCATCCTTGCAGCCATACTGTCAGTTGAGTGCCAGGTGCTAGACAGACCTTGTCCTTGACAAAACTGTCTACAGGGGATCCAAGGTTAGAACCTGAATTTCCAAAGCACACATTGCTGATGTCACCACAACCAAACACATCACCTTCCTGGACAAATTGGAAAGGAAGCAGGCTCCAAGTGACATGAAGGGTGCCAGCCATCATCCTTGCAGCCATACTGTCAGTTGTGGTGCTAAGGGCTAGGGCATTCTGCACTTGCCCAGGCAGTGGGGAAGCTTCCTCTGTGCTGCATGCTTGGTGACCTGGACCAGGGGAGCTCATAACTGATTGTTCCAGAATAGTACATGATATTGGTCCACTGGTGCCTCTCCAACTACTAATAATCTCGCTCACAGGACTCTGAGCTCCGTTCAGGCAAGGTGAATCTGCAGTAGCCAACTGGTGATCTCAGTGTTGGGATCAGGGACAGGACCAAGAGCTTGAATGAGACAGGCAGTCCAAGGAATGCCAAGACCACGAGGAGCACCGTGACTGAGATCGGTGCTAGCAAGATAACAATCAGTGTTCCATAGAGTGATCTGGAAATGGTGCCAATCTTGGTGACATCAACTACTCCTCACGGTTCCCATGCTGAGAGGAAGGGGGAGCACCTGCCTCCAAGTCTGCACTACTGTACCAGGAAGCACTGTCCCAGACCCTATCTTCATCTTATTTCAGAAGATTGGAAAGGTATTCATAATGCCTGCCTCTCAGAGTCTAAGACTTGATAGCTTTGCATGAGGGAGTGCTGGCATGCTAGCCCCTAGGAGACAAGTGGTGCCATAGCGGGGACGCCCTCAAGGAGCCCAACGCAGGCTGGGGTGCTATAGGCATCAGTACTGGAACAGTCAGTCTCTCCTGCGTGACCAACAGGCTCCTCATGTCCATGGTGCATCTAGGTGGCAGCAATGATCGTCATTGCCCAGTACTGACAAATCAAGTCAGGCAGAAGCTAGGCCACTCCATCTGAATCGAAGCCTGACTTCTTGATGGAGATGATGAACCACCTAACGCAGGTCTTGGCTCCCCTCCCTGCTTCTCCATCGCCTTTCAGGACAGAGAGGAGTAACCCTTGACAAAAGCTTTCACCTTATTCACTGAAGTTGGCAAGTGTCAGCAGTGATGACTGCAAGATGGCACTGAGGGGGCACTCTGCAACAAAGGCACAGTGTGCTCAAGGTTAAGGCAGATGCCTGTTCTCCTACCAGACATAATACCGACTCCATGAGAAGTACTCCTCGCTGAGACACTGCAGGCTACTATTGTGCAGGTCACTCACAGGAATAGGACACCTGTACGACAAGGTTTGAAAACTGGGGACTGGAGTATGCCACATCCCTAGTCTAAGGTCCCATCTGGTATAATGCTACAAACACAAAATTAAACTAGTGAAGACCTATCCATAAGAGCTGATCAACAGAGGAAAGCTAGCAATGGGTTGAAGTCAGTAGTTCCAGTGCAATGTAATTGGTGTCAAGACGAAAATGAGGATGGGGGAGCGTGTATAGTCCCCTTATACCAGGCATGTCCAAAGTCCGGCCCACGGGCCAATTGCGGCCCGTGTTCCGGTTTAATACGGCCCCACGGGTAATTTGGCAATATCTATCTTTTATGGCCCCCAATGAATCCATATGTATTGAGATGAATACATTGTAAAATCTCAGTTAAAGTCAGTTGGTCTAAATCAGTTATAAATATATTTGGACACAACATGTATACTTGGTGTTATGTTCCTGTTCATATTTTTTGAACTTAAAAGTTGACAGACAACCTTTATTACCAATAATATGTAATGTACTTTACAATGTTCCTGACATATATTTCAGCTTCCTGGATTTTTTTTTTCATCTGGCCTTCAGATATGAAAGGCAGAGTGATTTAACACCTGTTTAGATTTGTCATCCATGTGACGAAATGAAAAGTATGCCGTTTGCAATAAACTTTGCATAAAATAGTTAATTTGCATTTAATTTTAATGGTTCAAAGAATGTCAGGCAAAATGGTCGGCCCTCACGCATGTTCACTTCATCAAATCTGGCCCTTTTTTTTTAAAATGTTTGGACACCCCTGCCTTATACCATACCATGGCAGTACCATGCCACAGGTCACCAGAACCACTCCCTTATGGATACTGCTAGGGGAAAAAAAAATTCTGCTATGTGTGCACGTACTTACAGGAAAAAAGGATCCTTACAGGAAAAAAAGGATTATATTGTTCATTGTCATTCCCAAATTTGGCTTGTTTGGGGTTTTTTAACATATTAAAATTGAGTAACCATCTTTAAAATATTAGTTAATAAATAAAATAAACAGATGATCCCATGAATACATTCTGATTTCTACTATTCCACAACAACAACAAAGCACCCACCCAAGTCTCTGGGTAGCCTTCACAATATCTAAAAAGAAAACAAAGTCTGTGCATTATGGTACCTCAGAAACAAAACTATCATTAATTTTAACTCCCTCTAAACAACTCTACCATAATTCTTCCTTTCCCTCACCCATTTCTTAACAAACTAAAGCAGTGGTTGGAAAAATTTTGGTTAGGGCCACTGATACAAAGAAGAATTATTTGGAAGCTACACAACTACGAGAAATAAAAAAAAAAAAACACCCATCCACTCTTACTAGTCTAGCTCCACAAAAACAAACAAAACAAAAAAACACCTCACTAACCTGAACCCTGAGAGAGAAAAAAAAGACACACACAAAGACACTTGGGCCACTGGGGCACTCTCATGCAACAGCCCCACGGAAAAGAAAAGAAGTGGAAATATCACCACTATATCCATTCCCATTAAACTTCATTATTGCACTTAGCTCTTTATCAAAAAGCCAGATATGATCAAAGCACCTAAAACTAAAAAGAAAAACATTTCTTACCTTATTATTCATAAATGCTTTGAGGCATTGAATAAGCTTATGTTGATTCTTCTTGTCAATACTTTCTTGCCTTTAAAAAAAAAAATAGCACTAACTAAGTTCAAAACCTTAATATCGGTGCCCATCTCCCACCCCAAAGTTTTGGGTTCTTACTGTTTCTTGTCCAGAAGCCTTTCCAGTACATCCAACAGAAGTCCAAGACCTTCATGTCCAAAATTGTTGACCCAACTATGGAGAGAGTAAAATATACACGTTAATTTATTCATGTCACAGAATCCTGAAGTGCTCTTGGACATTCCAACCAGTCTTGTGAAAAGTTCTCATCTCCTACAAAGTTTACAATATTAAGAAAAAGTGGTGAGAGAAACTTTCACATATTCTCTCTTTCTGCCTTCTTTAATATGAGTAATAAAATTATCCATTGAGCCTACAATCTTTACAGCAAAACTTCAAGTAACCATATTTCAGATTTTAAGTAACTAATGGTATATGAATGAGACACTTAACTAGTAACATAAGTAATTCCTCTCAATATTTAAAATTACTCCATTTCATACCAAAATATAAAAAAAAAAACCATACATATACACAGACCACATTCTCAACAGTGCTTTTAGACAAGAATTAGTTGGAGTGTCATGTTTTAGTGATTCAAAAAGAATTAAAAATTAATGGCTATGTAACAAGAAAAATTTACTTTAGCTTGGATACTGATCTATGTTATTTGCTTAGAAGACTGTATTGGATTTTTACCCTAGAACTTTTCTTGTATCTACATTTAAGGATAAACTTTTCAGTGTATACTTCTGTTGTTCTGAGTACATTAATAAACTTTTAATAAGTTAACAACTAAGTGCACGGATCTGAAAAATACAGGTTGAATCGCTCTAGTCCAGCACCCTTGGGACTTGGTGCCAAACCAGAGAATGTGCTCAACCACAGGAGATCAATATTGCCTAGTAGCATTACCTACACTTCCACTACTTACTGGGCTCTTAGAAGATATTTAGTGGTAAATTAGAGCTAAATAACAGCACAGAACACTGAGAGCCAGGACTGGTGATTGTAAACAAACTTTATAGGACTGTGGGAAACAGTCACACCCTTGATAAGTGGACATCCAGCTAACTAAAACTATGCCCAACAACAGATAATGCTGAAAATGGGGTTCAACCCGTTCTGTCCAACGTAAAAGATGACCTATAAAGTAAATACAGTAGTGTTAAAAATCACTAAGCTAAAGCTCCCCTGGATTCAATAAAGAGGGCTACCCTAATTAAGTTTCAGCATAATATTGGCTATACCACTTGCCAAATTAAAAAAATGTTGTTTATTAGATTTCAGTTTCAAAATTAAACAAGTGTATCAGTCAATAAATTAAAATGGCATATACCACATTCACACTAACACCAGCACGCGAGTTATTTCTTTCAATTTCTACTTTAAATGGTTTATCTGAGCACTGTAAACTCCTCTTGAGGAAAACTTGAGGTATGGCAGCAGGAAAGGACTTACAGTACTAAACATTAAAAAACAATTATCTAGATACTCAAGATACTAAACACTATCTTCAGATACTGATGAGATGACTGAAGAGAAGCAATCATTTAAAAAAAAGGTCAACCTTTTTCTTAATCCTACAGGCATACACAATGTGTATCTGTAGAAATAGTGCCCAAAATGTGTTAGTTTATGATTTTACATACTGTCCAGTTATTTCATTTCTGTTTTAGAACAGAAAACTTAGCAAAAAGTATACAGAAAATAAACCTGGGAAGTAATTATAAATCTTTGTTTAAACCCAATTCAGTTTAATGGAGGGAACTGACTGCTAAGTTTCAAAGCATACCATCTAGATTTCCTATCTATACCTGGTAGCTTTCCATCATTCCTTTTCTATTTAAATAGCACCAAGAGGTTGGTTACCAGTTCTGAAGACTAGTAAGCCAAAAAAATCCTTAGGCAATTCCTAATGTTGAGTCATCTCAAAAGCAATCCCATTGATTGACAGAAGATGGCAAAATTATTAATCAGTAAATATGGCAACTCAGATACACAATAATCCAAACAGCTTTACAAGAACACCACCAACGTCACAGAATGGTGACTCAAAAAGAAATCCCCCCTTCTTCTCCCTCCCCCCTCCCCACCTCCCAC